TATATATATATATATTACTGAACCGATTTTTCTAATTTAGATAAAAAATTTGTGTTTTAAGAATATCTATTACCATATTTAAAACAAACAAATTTATTTATTTATTTTTTTAATGTAAGTCTTTTTATTTTTGGAAATCATAGCTGTTTAGGTTGATTTATCTCTCTATCTTTTTATCTAACTTTTTATCTACATTTTTATTTTTGGAAATCCTTCCCTGCTTTATCTTTCGCCAACCCTCCCTCTTCTCTTACGAAAACACAAGTCTTCTGGCAGGGCATTCTCGGCGTCGCCACCTGATGGAAAACGGCCGGCCAAGCTCCATTGCTGCGGTGCCTCCCCTCACCCGAATTTCTTCTCCGTTCTCCTTCATCTCCCGCACCCATTCTCTGTCGTCGTCTTCCACCTCCGTGGATTCGAAGCGAAAACCAACGTTGCTCCATCCCTCATCCCTCCGTCTCCATCGCCTCTCCTCCGCTTCTATTGGTGAAAAGTAAACCAGATGTTTCCCCTTTCGCTCCTCTGAAACGTTTCAGTGGAAACAAAATCGCCGCACGGTTTAGCAGGGAGCCCTACGAGGCCGCACTTGATCGTGAACGAGCCGCCTCCGTTGCCGCCGCTTTGGAGCACGCTTTCTGGGCGACTAAAAGCGCTAATGCGGAAGGAGGTGAAATGAAGATGGAGGATTATCTGATCGCCATGACCGCAGCCAAGCTAGCCAAAGTTCCCCTTTTGGAATAACGTTTCCCCTGCTTTTAGGATTTCTCTTCTTTAGGAAGAAAAAAAATAAGTCATTTCATCTGGTTATTCGTTAGGGTTAGTTACTGATCTGGTTGGCATATCACCTTTCCAGTTAGAAGATCACTGTAGGTTAGCTGGTTTTAGGGTTTAATGTAATTGTGTACTATGGATATTGTCATTTCGGTTTGGCATTTTTCATCCTTTGTTATTTCTGCTTCTTTGGTGGATATATGGAGTAAGGGTTTAACGGTCAAGTAATTTAAATTTACAATGAAGCATGTAAAAGAATTACTT